AAAAAAAAAAAAAAAAAAAAGAAAGGATACTCGATGATTTCTCCAAAAAAACGAAGCTCAAACATAAGCGAAGATAGATCACATTAGTAGAGAAAATTAGTAGTTATACAAAAAAATTAAAATTCTTTTTAAAGAGCAAAAAGCAAACGTTGTACCATCATGTCAGAAAGCTTCTTTCCACCCGAAGCCCGGAGTTTCTTACATGTATGTACTAGTATGCTAATACTGTACTGTTAGTTGACAATTCATGCGATAAACAAATAAATTATAATCGTCCATCGTAGACTAATTACTAGGATAAAACATCAAATAAAGAATTACACATAAAGTCATAATGTCATATCAAACGAGAGACAGATTAATAAAATGAAAAAGACAGATGAATTACTAGATCACTGATTATTCAACAGTGAACCATTTGACCGGAAACCGGTTCTTACTTAGTATATACTTTGTATATATCTTGCTTAGTATATACACAGAGAATTTTCTGCGATTGAATAGGTGCAATGTTTGACAAAGATTTGATAGGTTCTTCAATAGGTTAAGAATGCGTAGGATTATCGAGAGAAGTTAAGGAATGGTGTGTTTGGTATTATAGTGATTTGTCAATTCGTATCTCCGATAAAATTCTTTCCGGCATATTTTGCAACGATGCTTGGGTAATTTTCCGCATTCGAGTCTCTGATGCCTGCGAAGATTCGCCATCCACTTGTATCCTTTTCCACACTCTCCACAGAAGTAGTGTTGCATGGAAGAGACCAACGGTGCCCTAATGATTTCCGGAATCAGTTTGATATCCTTGGATTCAAAAGCCTCGAACTCGTTCATCAGGTCGGAGCCGTCTGTAATATGAGAAACGTGGATTACTGCGAATTGATTATAACCCAAATCGTAACATAATGGGAAGGATAACGTAGGAGAAAATGGCAAGAATCTAAAGAAACTGGACACATTTATATTTGTTGATATATAATATACACACACACACACACACACACACACGTGCATCTCAAGGTTGCGACAATTTGCAGAATTTACGAGCGTTTTAATTATCAATAATTTTATTAAATCGACTTTATTAATTTCATTCAATCGATTCAGTCAGAAAGAAAAAATACATTTTCCCTAATGTCTGTCTACGCGATGCGTGGAAACGATGTACAATTTCATAAATGGTTATAACAGAACTGAAATTATTTATTTTGGTCCAAGAGAAAAAAAAAAAAATTCCCAGAATCGACGATGGAAGCTAAATCAAGTCTGGATGATGAGCCAACAAGTGTTCTTTCAGTCTGTCACGTCTGTAAAATTTTCTCGAGCAGAAGTGACACTTATTTCGCGCCTCCTTGTTGCCGCATTGTAGCTGATGTCGACGTAAACTATACATCCAGGTATATTCCCTGCCACAAAGCGCACAGGTGAAAAGCTGCTGTTGCTGCTGTTGCAGCGGTTGTTTCTTGTTCGGATCGAGCACAGGACACGGATAATAGTATGCGTCATTGTAGTTCCTTTCTTTCGGCAACGAATCGTCCACTGAGCCGCTTCGATAATCATTCAAATTGATCCATTCGCTCTTCGATAGAACACCTGTCGAAGTAACATACTCATAAACAAGAAGTATTAAAAGCGAAAGGGGAAATATCTCGGGAGAGTGATATAGTTTCACGAAAAAACGGGGGCTAGATAAAGGTGTATAATCAAATTCGAATGATTCAAGGGGATCGAGGGAATGGCATTTGGTCCGATGCGATGAAAATTGCACGAGCAACAGCTTGAGAAATCAGCTAGAAAACGATACCAATTCGATTATACCTACATGTGTTCATATAATTGTCTTTGATCGTTCACATTCATTTATTTGTCAATACATATAAAACGGTGATATAAAGTTGCGTTACGATTGAAACATATTCTTTTTTGGTATCCGTTCCACCGAAACAAAGTTGCGGAATGTAATGGACGAGATACATCGATCTTTGTACATATATATTTTTTTTTTCTTTTTTGTTCTTTTTTCCATACTATTACATTCCGTTACCTTCTTCGTTGTTAGCTATTAAAAATGTTATATACATTGTGGTAATTAATAGTAAAGCTACTTCACAGAGAAACATATTACTTGGCACAGCAAAGCTATCGAGTCGAAAGCTACGAAACAAGTAACAAATCAAATTTC